CTTCTCCGCACGTCCTACCTTCCAGAAAGTGGTCGCTTTTCTGTTCAGAGAGTTGTTGCTATTCCTTTCTTCGATCTCCTGTTGAGTTTGTAGGTGTTCGGAATGGTTTGATCCCTATCCAGCTGAATTCCTGAGAGGAGACGAAATCCAGGTCTCCTACTCCTCCGCCATCTTGCTCCGCCCCCCTCCCAGAATAAAAAATTCATATCCAGAATATGTAAAACACTGTCAAAATTCAATAATAAGATAATCCATTCAAAAAATGGTCAAGAGATGTGACACTTTTCCAGTGAAGTACACACAGATGGCAAATAACATGGGAAACGACACTCAGTCTCAGTCATTATGAAGTTAAAACCACATGAGATACCATGACACACCCATTAGAATGGCTAAAAGTAAAAGAAAAAATACCGGCAGTACCAAGTTCTGGCAAGAATGAGGAGTAACCGGAGCCCTCAGGCAGTACTGAAGGCAATGTGGAATTGTACAGCCACTTTAGAAAAGTTTGGCAGTTTCTTATAAATTAAACATACTCTTTACCGTATGACTCAGCAATTCCATTCTTATTTACTCAAGCAAAAGAAAAACTCAAATTCACAGATAAACTTGTCTGTGTATGTTTATCACACGTCGTTTGTACTCATCCAAAATTGGAAACAACCTAGGTGTCACTCAACAGGTGAATGGATATATGTAACCAATTTTTAAGCATTTTTAAATGTCCAGTTTGGTGGCGTTAAGTCTGTTCACCACTAGGTGAAAGTGTAAGAGAAACAGGATATTTGCATGGCCTCAAAATGTGCCTTTGAAATTACATCATATATTACATGTAAAATAGTAACTTTGTGTGGAGGAAACCTGGCAGACAGCACCTTAACCAGTGATCAAGACTGACACACCAACAGTAAACATGTCAAGGTCATGTCCTCCTGGCTGAGGCACTGAGAAGGGCATAGCACCTCTGCAGGACTCTTCCCCAAATTGCACACCCTCAACCTCATCATGACGGAACATCAGGGAAGCTCACGTTGAGGGGCATTCCCACAGAATTCCTGTCCTCTACGCCTCACAAGAGTTGAGATCAAGAAAGACAAGGAAAGACAGACACTGACAGCTGAAATCACCATGAGACCCCAGGTTGGACCCTGGAGCAGAAAATGACATTTCACGGAGAGGCGGGTGACATCCACATAGGCTGTAGTTCAGTAGCTGTGCGCACTGTGCATTTCCTAGTTTCATTTCTTCTGTTAATAGTTCTGTAAGATGTTACATTAGTGGAAGCAGGGTGGAAGGTATTACAGGAACTCCTCTTTCTGTAACCCTCTTCAAGGTTAAAATTATTTAGAAATTACAAGTATAGGAGCTCCTGGCTGGCTCGGTTGGTGGAGCGTGTGACTCTTGATCTCAGGGTCATAAATTCAAGCCCCCTATTGGGTGTAGAGATTACTTAAAAAAAATCTTAAAATAATTTTTTTTAGGTTTAAAAGTTAATGAGTGACAGTTAAGTAGGCCTTTTTCTGTAATCCCCTCTGGAAATGGAGCGCCGTCTTCCAGGCAGCTAAGATGACCTTCACTAACAACGACAATGGTAGCTAAGTCAGCCTCTCAGCAGCGTTTGACGTGACTGGTTCCTCTTTCCTGGAACTCATTTCCCAGCTTGGTTTCCGCGATGCCATGTTGGCGGACTCTCCCTTACCTTTCTTTTTTAGTCTCCATTCTTGGCTCATCATTCTCCACATGAGGTTGAAGTTCATCAGGGTTCCAACCTGAGGCCTTGTGTCTTCTCTCTGTACCCCTGCTATCCAGTATGGTAGCTACTAGCCACACTCTAAATTCAAATTAGTTACAAATAAATAAAACTTAAAATTCAGTTCCTCGGTTGCTGTAGCCACATTGCAAAGTGCTTAATGGCTACCTGTGGTGTTGGTGGCCACCGTGCTGGACAGCACAGATGAAGGGCAGTTCTGTCACTGCAGAAAGTCTTGTTGGACACAGGTCTACAGGGCAGTGCCTGGCGCTTCACACGGTGTCTGGTCACCCCACCCCCAGTGATGCCAACATCGGTCAGTTGGCAGGTAGTGTCAGCTCAGTATCATGAAGTCCCCATCAGCCTTCCACCTGATAGTTTTATTATTAATCTTTGCCTGCAACGTTTGTTTCATTCCTTTTTTGTAAAAACAGGAATCATTCATGTAATCGTTCCGTATGGATATCTTTCTGTATTGGTGCATTTTTTTAGATCTGAGCTCATCTTTAATAGCTACATAATATTCTCTTGAATGTATACATGCTAAAGGACCTGATCTAATTGTGTTGGATAAGTTCTTAGGCATATAATATTTTTAATTATGTATCCTTTTGTTATGTTTCAGGTGAACAGAAGGCCCCACCTGCCGTCCAGACATTGAAAAACAAAAGCGTGCCCACGGAGTCCTTTGAAAACTGGAGAGAAGACCAGCATAGCCCATCCTATCAGCAAATAAACTGCATTGACAGTGTTATCAGGTGTGAGACACAAGTTTTGAGAACATGTCTGTTTTTCCAAAAGCACACATCGCCATTGTAAGCACACACCTTACATCATTTTTAATATTGGTTGTCTTGATTTTTCACTCTAAGTCAATAGATATTTATGGAGTGCCTACTTACATATAGTTTATAATAAATTGAACATTTCAGGGGATGCAAAAAAATTAGAAGATGGATCCCTTCTTTGAAGGAGCCATGGTGAGTTTGAGAAGACAAGACCTTGATCATAAAAATTAAATGAGGCGGGCGCCTGGGTGGCTCAGTTGGTTAAGCGACTGCCTTCGGCTCAGGTCATGATCCTGGAGTCCCTGGA